CCACTACTGTCTGTGTCCATTGGCTATGCTTATATGCATGCATACAAGTCTTATGGTTGATCTGTTACACTCCCCCCACCCCCTTCCCTCTGAGGTTTGAGAGGTCTGACAGTCTGTTCGATGCTTCTATGTATGTCTCTGGATCTATTTTTGTTCATTAGTTTATGTTGTTCATTATTTTCCACATATGAGTAAGATCATGTGACACTTGTCTTTCTCTGACTGGCTTATTTCTTTAATAGACTTTTTTATGGTTTTTAATTTCTTTTTAATTTACTGATTTGAGAGAGAGAGAGAGAGAGAGAGAGAGAGAGAGAGAGAGATTTGTTATTCCACTTATTTGTGCATTCATTGGTTGATTCTTGTATATGCTCTGACCAGGGATCGAACCCACAATCTTGGCACATCAAGACAATGCTCCAACCAACTGAGCTACCCAGCCAGGGCCACCCTTTTAATGTTTTAATCAGTCCTCACACTTCCTTTGTGAAGGACCTTGGAAGTTCTGCCTTTATTCCCAGTTTTCTATTACTGCCTTCTTTTCAGAACACATCACCCGGTTGATTTGAGATATAGAGTGAGGACCTAATAAAAAGAACTCAGGTCTCTAACTTGGAAAGTCTGGGTACAAGGTCACTCGCCAGATATTGCAGAGATCTGGTCTTATTTCTGAGCTGAGAGCGCTCCACAGGCTGGAATCTCCCGAAAGAGGGGGAGCACATGGAGTAAGGGCCATACCACCCAGCTGCTGCAGTTCCCTGGCTTTCCTGGTCCTCAGAGCCCCTGAGTGGTCATCTCTGTTTTACTTGCCAAACCTGGGTTTCAGCCCATTATATCCCTCTGCCTCAGCTTTCCATCTCAGCAAACCTACCGGGCACATCAGCACCTGAGAGATTGCCATACTCTTTCATCAACATTGCAATAAGAACCAGGAAGAACGTTGCTAACAAGTAAAGAAAGTTTCTAGGCTGGGTAACTTTATTACCATTCCCTGTAGCGCTGTAGGCCTACACAAACCTGGGAAGGTAACTAACTGCTGAATACCTGACTATTGTTGAAGCCAGTCTGCTGCAGGGTTCACATTTCAGGTCAAATAGGGAGGGTGATTCCTGGCTTTAAATCTAAAGCTTGACTGCTCTGAGGCTTGATTACTGCTTTCATACTGGCTTTGGTTTACATACATGTGGTTCCCAGGAGAAAGCTTGGCCTATAAAAACACTCCCTTAATGCTGCACTTCTTGCAGTTAACACACTTTCCATCTACTCTCCATAACAGGATTCTTGAGAGATCTACACATGTCCACTTCACCTTTGACTCAGAAAGTACATTTTTATCATGTTATCCCAAAAACATAGTGAGAGATGCATACAAAGAGTTATGTATAAGGATGCTCATTACAACCTTATACTTTACTAAAAATTGGAAACTGCCTAAATAATCAATAAAATGGAGACTTTAAAAATTTACGTCATATGTAAATCAGAATTTGGTAATGTGGCAAGTGACAGAAAACCCCAGTAACTGCAACAGGAAAAGGTGAGGGTTGCATTCTTTTTTGTCACTGTTGTGTCTGGCCTTCCGTCCCTAATATGACTTCATGGACCAAGATGGCTACGTCAACACTAGTCCTCAGGCACAAACCCCAGCCAGCACGAGGGACAGCACTGAGAGCGATGGGTCAGAGGTCGCTCACCAGCTGTCTCTTGCAACACTTCTGTTTACATTCTGCCAGCATGTTTTTCTAAGGCGTAATTGTTAATCCATCAGAAAAGAAAGCAACTTTGCAGAAGTTTTCATTTGAACCCAAGCCTTGAGTTGATTAGGGTTGAACTTGAGGCCAAGGACAAGTCAGGCAGTTGATCTAGAAGGAGTTACTTTTTTTTTTTCTTAAATGAGGACACTTCCAAGAAAGCTCCTTTCTTTCTTGTTTTAAATATATTTTATTGATTTTTTTACAGAGAGTAAGGGGGAGGGATAGAGAGTTAGAAACAGCGATGAGAGAGAAACATCAATCAGCTGCCTCCTGCACACCTCCTACTGGGGATGTGCCCTCAAGCAAGGTACATGCCCTTGACCGGAATCGAACCTGGGACCTTTCAGTCCGCAGGCTGACACTCTATCCACTGAGCCAAACTGGTTAGGGCTGGAATTACTTTTTTTACATTTATCTGTTTGAAGTTTCCCAGTGTCAAATTTTATGTTTTCCTGCCTTGAGGGAAGGTGATCCATGAGATACCTTGCTGCCCTCTGCACCTTATACAGTTTTTTGCCCATTATTTGTTTTATCAAGTTGCTAACTTCCAAAGCTCTTACTTGTATGTTTCAACCCTCGGTCTGGTGGGTATAGCAGCCTTTGGCTCCATCAAATATATGCAAAACACTAGTAAAATGTAGAAGTTCAAAACATTACTAAAAATCACTAAATTTTGCATTTTATTTACTTTTAAACATGTTTTATTTTAATACATTTTTATTGATTTCAGAGAGGAAGGTAGAGGGAGAGATAGAAACATCAATGATGAGAGAGAATCATTGATTGGCTGCCTCCTGCACGCCCCACACTGGGGATCAAGCCCACAATCCTGGGTATGTACCCTGACCAGGAATCAAACCTGTGGACCTTGTTTCATAGGTCGATGCTCAACCACTGAGCCATGCCGGCCGGGCTAAATTGTGCATTTTAAATGGGTGGATTTTATAGTATGTAAATTATACCAATAAAGTAGTTTTTAAATATACAGAAAAAAATAAAATATAGGGTGAGTAGATTAGACCAGTGATCTCCAAATATAGGGTAGAGCCAAAGTAGATTTAGAGCTATGAGTACACAAAACACAGTTTAGTCTTGTATTATTATTCATGAATTACTACTGCATTGTTGTCCATAGAACAACAGTAAAGCTCCTTTTGCCCCACTCTGTATTTTTTATCATAATCCCCTGACAAAAAGAAATGAAATTTGAGTATGCATTTCCATATTTGTGGGCTTATTTGTTTAAATTGTGTACACATTAAACTCTGTTATATGATATAAAAGAGCTAAAAAAAATAGAAATTTAAACAGAAAAATATAGATATAGAAATTCTAGTGATTTCTTGCTTTCCCTCCACGGATCGTCTTGCACATCTCCTGGACCACTGACCCAGGCAGTCGACACAGAGCTCTGCAAGGGACTCCAGAGCAGGAAAGAAAGGGGGGTTCTTTTTTTTTTAAGAAGCTGACATTGGGCTAATGCCTCAGTGATAGCCACTACTTTGACATTTACATACACCTCGACAGTCTTTAAATGCTTCCTCTCACGCATCATCTTATTTGCTCTATAAATAGAAATTAAGTGGATCAAAATAGGAGACAGATTGGGAAGAATTTTGAGTGCCTTACCAGAGGAGTCTGGACTTGACTGTAAGAGCAGTGCGGCCATATCGATGTGTCCGATTACAGAGGGGACACGTACAGTCCAAGAGCCCCTCTGATGAGCTTTCCTCTCCCCGGTGAGAGGGCAGAGGCGCTGAGGGAGCGGCCTGGAGTTGCACCTGTCCTATGGCCCTGCTCTGAGTGACGTGCCCTGGATCAGCAGGCCCGAGTCTCCAGATAATGCAGGCCGCGGTGGCTCGCCCACTTGGGGACTCATCTTTCAGAACCAGGGACTGGTAGGCTTAGCCTCCACTGCCCACCCTTTTCCTTAGCCTGCTGCTCCATCCACATGACTACTATTGGTTTCCAGAATGATGCCATACATTTCGTGGGCCTCCCCACCAGGAGTGTGCATGCAGCTGTTTTCACACTAAGGTATTTTCCCCTGATTCCTGTCTCTTTTTTCCTCCAGCAGCCAGAGCTCAGCAGCTCATGTTCTACATACCGTAGTTACCTCTATTTCCAGGGAGTAGGGCTAGGCTTGTACTGTCTCTGTTATCTCCCTGTCTGTCCCTGCCAGTTGAGCTGTCTGTCCTGTTTACTACAGGCGCAGTGTGAGAGCCACATGGATGCTGCTTTGAAAGGCCTAAAGCTTCCTGTCCTCCACAGAAGGCACGGAGGGCTTTGGTAGAGGTAGCAGTGAAGCGGTAGAAATAACTATACTATATATATATTTTTTAATATAAATAGCCATATTATTTAGTGCTGAGGCTCATGCCACTTCCATGCTGAAAAACCTTCAGGGACTCTCCCTTGACCAAAGTCCTAGGAGGGTCAGTGAGTGGCTTTTGTCCACAGAGAGGTTAGAGCAGCCTGCCAGGCGGGGACAATGAGAGCCTGGTCCCCCGGGTCACGCCGTGGGTGTTGCCACAGGGCCTGAGCCAGAGAGATGGATATCTCTTTATCATTTCTTCAAGAAGGGGTTCAAGTTGAGGCCTTGGCCTGTGTCAGGTGATGCCATAGATCCATGCACCAGAACGGGACAGGACACAGGTCCGTGGTGTGGACAATGCAGACACAGACCCGGTGCAGAGCCAGCTGCAGAGACCACTGGCCGAGGCAGGCCATGCAGTGCTCATTGCGGGTGGCATGTTGCTGGCGCCCTAGTGATAGAGCATCTTGGTTTCACATCAAAAAACCTGGTTCAGACCCCACTTTAACAACCTTTCAAGCAAGCTACTTAATGTCTCTTAAAAGGATGTCCGCGAGGTGGAATGAAGTGACACACCTTTGAACTCTTCCATTTAAAACACTATTACTGTTACTCTTATAACGACACATGTCACTCCATGCCAGGTTGGCTCTTACTGACCATCCGTCTCCGAGTGGTAGACAAAGCGTTGTCTCATCGATGCCTGTTTCTTCCCCTCAGCAACGAGCCCAAAGCTCCAGCGTGTGCTGTGGGGTTGTCCATCGATTTCTAGTTGTGTGCTGTTTCTAGCATTTACCTCTTTCAACAGAAATCTGGATGTTACGGCAGCCCCCCTACAATTCCTGTCACAAGATGGGCGCCTACCCGCAGAGCTTAGGGAGAGGTTTGCACCTGGTTAGAAATGGTGCTCAAGTTGTGCTTCTTCCTTCCAGGGATTTCCCAGATGACCCGGGTGTGCAGTGGGACACAGAGCATGTGGCCAGCGTCATCCTCCAGCACATAGAAGTGAATGACATCAACCTGGTACGGGACACCCTCCCAGTCACACCTTCCCTGTGGCCACCCTTCCCCTCCACCCCCCAGCCCATCTCCAGGGCGACTCCAAAAGAGGCGAACCCTCCACACTCTCTCTCAAACCTCCTGATGACAACACACCTTTTGGGAGACTAAGTAACCAAACTGCCAGCGCGTGGAGGCAGAGGCCTCTCCGTGGTGTCCTCTGTCCTGCCACTTAAAAGCTCAGGCCCCAAGGAGCCTGGCCTGCAACTCTCATTTGTACAAAACGTCCCCTTTCACCGAGCATTTTCACATTTAGAGTATTGTTTTAACTTCAGAGGTAAAGGTTATAATCTCATTTTACATCAAGGAAATAGAGTTTCCAGAGGCTGGCAGCTAGCCCAAGTTCAGCAAGTGGCAAAATTAGAATTTTCATCCTCAGTTTCAAAAAAACACAAGGATAAATCCACACCCACAGGGAGAACATTTGAGGAAATTCACACTCACCTGCAGGGCTGAGCATGCCTGGGAACCCCATCCGCTCTCCCAGGGTCGGCCGGAGCGAGCCTCGCCAGTGGTCAAGTTTAAGCCTGCTTACCGTCTACTTCTAAAACAATAAGAATAAGAGCCCTTCATGAGTTGACACCTAAAATCTGGCCATTTAAAGTCCCAGCCATTTAAACACTGAGTTTGATAAGGCCTCGTTGAAAGTCCTTCTGCAGAGAGCCACGCTAGGCTTTCGTCTTGATGAATTTGCTGAGGGAAGTGATTATTGGGCCGTTCGTAAGACAGATTTTCATTACTTTATTGGTCAGACCGTCTTTTTTCTGATGACAGAAGATGTCGTAGTCAGCTGTCTTTGTGAATGGCAACAGAGCACCTGCCTGACTCTCTTCTTATCCCATCAGGTGGAGTGGCAGGTGGGCCTGGGCCTGCCGGCTCATCTCTGTCGTGCTCGGTGCAGTGACTTTGTTTTCTTTCCTGGCTGGAAAGTGTAGACCAGCAGCTTGCAGGTCTATACCTCTCACCTGCTGACAGCACACCTGGGGGTCTAAGTGTGAACACCGGAGGGTTGTGGCCCTGGGCTTAGGAGTCCAACTCCCTGCTATCTATTATTGATTTTTACAGAGAGGAAGGGAGAGAGAAGGAGAGGGATTTAGAAACATTTATCAGCTGCCTCTTGCACACTCCCTACTGGGGATGTGCCCGCAACCAAGGTACATGCCCTTGACCGGAATCGAACCTGAGACCCTTCAGTCCGCAGACTGACGCTCTATCCACTGAGCCAAATCGGTTAGGGCTCTGCCATATTGACTGCCCAGCCCACACAGTTAGAACTTCTCACGGCTCCAGAGCTCAGATGTGTAGACAGAGCTGGTCTTCAAGACCAGCCTGAAGTTCAACAACGAGGTCTGGGAGGTGTGCCACAGTACCCCTTGGTATCCCAGGACCGGCCCCAAACTCTCTCCTCCCCTACTTCAGTGCGTAAGAACAGCTGGGCTGCAGCTTAGTGGGAGAAGTGGATGGGATCTATGAACTGTGGGTGCCACCCTGGCCGGTGGCTCGGTTGCTGGGAGTGTCATCCTGTGCACCAAAGGGTTGGGGCACATACCTAGCTTGCAGGTTAGATCCGTGGTCAGGGCAGTTAGGGGAGGCAACTGATCAATGCTTCTCTCTCACATCAATGTTTCTCTCTCTCTCTCCCTTCCTCTTTCTCTAAAATTAATAACAATGTACCCTTGGGTGGGGGTTAATAAAGAAGAAAAAGAACTGCAGGTGTCATGCACAAATCTGCAAAGGTCTGGGGAGCTGGCTTCATGGGACTCAGCCCTCCTCGCTGCGGAAGGAAGAGGGAAAGTGTGAGACGATGTGGACAGCTTGCCTTATGGTCACAAAATGGCCAATTTCTAGAGAAAGTCCTGTGCCTTTTTGAAGGGAATTCTTCAGTTGTTGGATGCAGCCCTTTGAATTTGTTCACTCAGTCATTTAGTAATCATATTTTTAAATCTATGTTTTTACTTAGTTTTTTGTCTACTTGTCATTTATTGGAAGGGGAGACCAGAAAGTGGTTGCAGAGAAAATACTTAAAGGGCAATAGCTGAAACTTTTCCAGAATGAAAAAGATCTTCACCTACCATTTCAAGCAGTCCAGTGAGTCCCGCAGGAGAGGGAAACCCACACGCAGGTCTGTCATAGTGGAACCGCGGCAACCAAAGAGAAAGAACACCTTACAGGTAGCAACGCGAAAAGCCAAGTCACCTACAAAGGAGGGGCTTTTTCTCTTGTTGATGTTTTCTCTGGTTATTGAAATCTAGAGAAACGTTTTTCTAAGCTGAGGATAAACTTGCCCGTGTGGGAGAAACCTAGACCTAGGCTTTGTGTGAGCCTTTGAAAATAACAAAGGTCCCCTACCCCCTCCCCCCTCCCAAAAATGTGAAATGAGGAAGAAACAAAGACCTTGGAGAATTTGAAAAGTGCCTGAGGCAAACTCCAGGGGCCCCAAATCCCCAGTGCCTGTGGTAACCTGGCCCAGCGGCCAGCTGTCTGCTGTCCCGACCGAGCGCTAGACACTCAAGCCTTGTTGCTGCGTGGTTCAGCACACTTCCACGTGGCTTCATTTATTTTTTTTAATATATTTTTATTGATTTCAGAGAGGAAGGGAGAAGGGGAGAGAGACAGAAACATCAATGATGAGACTCATCAATTGGCTGCCTCCTGCACACCCCCTATTGGGGATCAAGCCTGCAACCCAGGCATGTGTCCTTGACCGGAATCAAACCTGGGACCCTTCAGTCTGCAGGCCGACGCTCTAACCACTGAGCAAGACAGCTAGGGCCCATGTGGCTTTGTTTTATCTTCACCTCAACCCAAGGAGGAAAGGAGGGCAGGTGTTATTTTCCTGATCTCTCAGATGACGAAACAAGACATTGGAAGTTGGAAGAACTCCCAGTGGTAAAGTTCTGTGACTTGCCCGACAGGCTAGGGCAGTGGTTGGCAAACTCATTAGTCAACAGAGCCAAATATCAACAGTACAACGATTGAAATTTCTTTTGAGAGCCAAATTTTTTAAACTTAAACTATATAGGCAGGTACATTGTTATTAACTTAATTAGGGTACTCCTAAGGCTTAGGAAGAGCCACACTCAAGGGGCCAAAGAGCCGCATGTGGCTCGCGAGCCACAGTTTGCCGACCACGGGGCTGGGGTAACTAGTGTCCTGAGTGGAGCAGCTGCAGCCCCTGCACCCACCGTGTTACATGAAGAATGGGATCAGCCCTAGCCAGTTTAGCTCAGTGGATAGAGTGTCAGGCCTGCAGACTGAAGGGTCCCGGGTTTGATTCCAGCCAAGGGCACATGCCCGGGTTGCAGGCTTGATCCCCAATAGGGGGCATGCAGGAGGCAGCCGATCAATGATTCTCTCTCATCATTGATGTTTCTATCCTCTATCCTTCTCCCTTCCTCTCTGAAATCAATAAGGAAATATACTTTAAAAAAATAAAAGGAATGGGATCAGCACTTGAGTTAGATGGTTAACTGTTTTTTTAAGAGACTGTATTTAAATTTTTTTCATCTACAGTTGACATACAATATTATCTTAGTTACAGGTGTACAACATAATAGGCTGCTGTTTTCCATCCACAGCAAAACGGAGCAGAAAGTCCATACATAACCCCTGTCCTCTGCAGTTGGTTGCAATAGTGAACCTGCACTGACACGTCATCATCACCCAACGTCTATAGTGTACGCGAGGGCTCACTTGGGTGTCGTATATGCCATGGATTTTGAAATATGCGTAATGACATATATCCACTATTATATGATTAGCTTCTTATGAATCTTTAACTCCGATTTTTTTTTAACTTTTGATTATAGAGAATTTCAAGCATACAAAAGTAGAGGAAATAGTTTAGTGAACCTCTATGTTCCTATTACTCAGCCCACCTCCCCCACCTCCTACATTATTTTCAAACAAATCCTTTTCATCATATTTCCTATTTAAGTCTTTTAGTATGTAATTCTAAAAGACATTGAATATTTCATTAACATTAATATCATTATCACACCTAAAATTAATTCATATCAATGTTTTGCATTTCCAATCGTCTCATGCCATAAATGTATTTTTATTCGTTTTCCTTTTTATAGCTTGTTTGAATCAGGATCAGTGGATGAGACTACATTTTCTTTCCACCCTCCAGCCTATGCTCAGTAAAAGTTAGCTGCTCACAGTTTCCTGTACATGAAGTAAACACGTTTTTTATGGCGTAGTATCGAAAGACCAGTCATGCCCGGCCAGTGTGGCTTGGTGGTTGCACGCCGACCTATGAACCAGGAGGTCACAGTTTGATTCCCAGTCAGGGCACATACATGGGTTTCAGAGTCAATCCCCAGTGGGGGCTGTGCAAGAGGCAGCTAATCAATGATTCTCTCTCATCATTGATGTTTCTATCTCTCTCTCCCTCTCCCTTCCTCTCAAAATCAACATATATATATATGAAAAGAAAGACTGGTCATGAATTCCTTCCTAGCCTCTTCCAATTCCAGTTTCAGGACCCTCGTCTATGCTATGTGGTCAGCTTCCTCCTCTGGGGACAGCTTGCTTCTTTCCATCACCCCTAACCAACTAGTACTATTCCTTTTTCTGGGTCCTTGATTTCTCTAAAATATTTATTTTATCCAAGTTATCCTTTTATTATTATTATTATATTATCATTATTATTATTTAAATTGTCCTTTGGGCTTTTTAAAATCCATCTATGTAGAACTGAAATGTTGGAATCTAAGTTTTTAGTTAATAAAGAGATCTATATTTGTGGAAATGGAAGCAGATGCCGTCTATGAATAAACGTATTTCTGCTGTGAACTTAACCCCAGGCCATGGTGGAAATTGTCCCCTAAAGCTTTTGTGCCCTCAGTAAGGCACGAGGAAAAGAGACCCATAGTGCGGGCAGCATCATGAACAAAGTCCACACGGCAGCCAGCCAGGAAAACTAAATGTTCTAATAACTGGCGAGGCAGATAAAGGCAAAGCTACTCTGAGCTTAGTAGCACATCATGGCTGAATTCCACTCTGCTCCACCGCCAGGAACAAGAACAAACGGCAAAACCTGTGGAAAGGCTCCATACAGTCGGCCACACCCATAGTTACACACCATTGATCTGAGCCAGAGTCCGTTCAGATATGCTCAGAGCGTGAAGAGTTCACGGCCCTGCTCTCTTCTGTCCTTCCCAAGGGAGGCACAGCTGGCTGGAGTCAGGGCCGGAGTGCAACCCTCTCTTTCTCTGCAGGTGGTGACTTTCGATGCCGGGGGAGTGAGTGGTCACCGCAATCATGTTGCTCTGTATGCGGCTATGAGGTACGATGCTCTGGGTCATGGGGGAAGACGTTTGTCATTTGCTCAGAGGGACGGTTTCTGAAGCACCATGAGCCCATGAAACTGCACGTTAGCAGCGACGGTGGTGGCAGTGGTGGTGATGGTGCTCATACTCTCCCGCATTCTCCCAGTGAGACGTCTCCCAAACAGCTGCGTGCGTGCGTGTGTGCGTGCGTGCGTGTGTGTGTGTGTGTGTGTGTGTGTTTTACACCATGGACACAGCAAAGAGGTAACTGATTTAATTTCTCTCTTTGCTTTGACCACTGAAACCTTTAGGGACAAATTTGCAACTCTTAGTAGCACATGTACGAGACTTTAAGGATTGAGTTGTGTGAACCAGTGTGCCTCCTGGCTTCATCTTTTTTTCCTCCCTATTCTCATTCATTTTTGTTGTCATCTGTTTTATATATATGTATATTCCTCACCCAAGGATATGTTTTTATTGATGAGAGAGAGAAACATAGATTGGTTGTCTCCTGTATGTGCCCCAACTGGAGATCGAACCCACAACCTAGGTATATGCCCTGACCTGGAATTGAACCTGCAACCTTTTGGTGCATGGGACAACACTTTAACCAACTGAGCCACCCAGCCAGGCTGTTGTATATTTTATACACTATTTCATATCTTTCTTTGCAGGAGGGGGATGTATATACATAACATGAAATCTCATTTGTACTTCACAATCACCCTATTTGACTGATGTGGATTTTACCAGTAACAAATAAAACCTGAACCTCCAAGATATTAGGGACTCACTCAGGGTCATACGAACATATGTCCTGTTTCCCGTCCTCAGGAGAAGGGCTTCCCATGGGTGCCTTGGCTGCAGCTTGGTAGACCTGGCCCAACTGCCAAGGAAGGAAAGGGGCACCTTGAAGTGAAGGGCGTATCTTCTCACCTTCTCGGCAGGCCCAGCCTTCTCAGCCGGGAGCAGAGAAATGTGTGACGGTGGAATGACATTACCTATCCAGTCGGGCCTGCTCGTTTCGCCCAGGCAGGGAGGCGGTTTGCCCGGCACTGCCAGGCTGGGGTGGCAGAGGCAGCCCCAGACCCCAGTAACCCGGGGGCTCCATTTAATGCCTCATCGTCTGCTGCCTCTGCAGACCCATCCAGTATCAGAGCCTTCCAGCTTCGTCCCTAACGTGTGTGTCGCCCCCTGGAAGAGGCTATAAATCATCACCCACAGTCTTCCCACACCGTCTGTTCCCTGACGCGGGCGGCAAGCTGCTCCCGCCGAGGAGGACTGCTCACCCCCTATCCCGGCCGGAGGTGCCGCTGTACACAGACCTGGACCTGCCTTGGGCCCCTCCGGTTCAGGGACGATGCATCTCCCGGTTACAGCCAGAGATGCAATTTTTCATGAGACACGTGGGAAGACGAGGACGCCCAGGAGGGGTCTTTCCAACCAACCCTGTGGTTACTCTGAGGCCGTGGCTCCCAAGACTAGAGTGGCCGGTCAGCCCCATGGAGCGCTGAAGGGGTGGCTCCCCTCGTTCCGGTGTACTGAGCCTTGGCACTTCTACCCAGCTGCCCCAGGGAAGCGGCCGGATCGGGGCTGCTGCAAGCACCACGACTGTTGCAGGGCACTGCAGGCTAATTTGGGGGGGTCCCCTCCCTGTCCCCCCACGCCCTGTCCCCACCACTGAACTGGGGAAAGCGGGGAAGGCTTCCATCTGGCACAGAACCCCGGGGACAGCTTCATGCAGACAGAACCGTGGGGACACTTCCTTTGGAAAGGAGCCTGGGTGCAGCTTTACGTGCGAGTAAGGGTCCCTGTGTCCAGAGAAACAGTGTGTTGATGCGTCTAAGTCCATGCTCCTCGGAAAGTGATCTCACAGCGGCCCCTCCCCACACAGGGACACGCCTGGGAAGTTCACAGTGGTCAGTTCCCCATCTCACGCCCCCAAAGTCTCCCTGTCCCAGTGTCTTACAGTGTTTCCCAGAAAGCTCCGGAGTTCTTCCTCCCGCTTGTCTGAACTCCCCATCTCCCATATGCGCTGCCAGGCGCGGTTTGGATGACGGTTTCTCAGGTGGCTCCCTGGCTGCTGGCGCCACAGCTGTTTGAGGCCGGCTGTGTCCTGAGAGCACAGGCCTGCTTCTTACTCTTATCCTTTCCCTCCTCGTCCCCAAGCTCCCTCTCCTGCTGGCCTGTTCCTTCTCTCAGCCTCAGGCAGTTGTCCTTCCGTGTTTGAGACCAGAGTGGCTGGCAGCTCTGCCCAACAGCACAGTCATGCGGAGGGGAAGGCGGGTTATTTCCCGCAGTCCTCAGGCGCTGCTGCTCCCTGGACCTGGTGTCTTCTTGCGCACAGGCTTCCCGCCCTGCTGAGCAGAGGACCAGTCCCTCGACCTCCGTCCTTCCTCCCCTCTGCCTGCCTCCTACTCCCACCGACCCACCAAAATCGTCCCACAAGCCCCCTAGGGCTATCTCAGTCCTCATTGGTCTTGACCTTTTTGTGCTGTCTGACCCTGCCTCTCACTGCTGTGGTGCTCTCTCCTCTGCCCCTCTGGCTACTCCTCGGCCTCTGCCTGGCTTCC